TAATGACATTTTCTGAAGAAAGCTAACATCTATGCAGTGTGTCTGGTCAAGTATTTGTTGAATATGGATTGGAAAGTTTGCCTGCCTAGGTGGACATCTTTACCTGAGTTTTGATTGGCTTTACTTTTTAAGGCACTCTAATGAGATTAATTATATTATTAAGAGAACTCTTCTGCAGCTGTCCATTGATCAGAGACATGCTTACACATGTGTAGTTTGGAATAAACCTGAGTACTGTATGTCTAAAAGAATTTCAAAAAGTGTGGAAAAATGAAAAGATTAAAGTGAAAATTGTAAACTTTCTCCATATAAGTTCCATTAAGGTCAAGACACTTTTGTAGGCAGAGGCTTGGGAATTCAACCATGTTAATCCAGACTTTATATAACAGCTGAAGAAAAATGGGTGGCCTTTAAATATATATATTTTAAGGTTAGGAAGCAAAAAGATGTCAGAAGAAGCCAAATCAGGACTGTGTGGTAGATGCCCAATAATTTGCCACTCTGGCAAAATTTCCTTTGTTTTATGAAAGAAATGCACAGGAGCACTGTTGTGATAGAAATGATTCTCTTGGTGAAGCTGTCCCTGGCATTTTTCTGCTGAAGCTTTGGCTGTCTCCAAACTACAACAAGAAGATGCTGTTGCCTTTTGGTCCCCTAGGAAGTCAACAAGCAAAATGCTTTTAGCATCCCCCCTTACCCCAAAGGTTGTTATGCCCTTCACTATTGACCTTTTGTTTTGACTGGACCACTTTTTTTTTTAACTTTAAATTCTTTTGTTTTATTTGTGAATCATTTCAAAGTACAAATAGAAAAAAATAATGTAAACACATATCTACCACTTATATGCAATAAATAGATACTTATCTTTGAGCATATGTAACATCCACCTATGAGAATATGACATGCTGTTAGGTGCCATCAAGTCCCTTCAACTCGCTGTCTTTCTGCTTTATCAAGCTTGCTGTTCTTTCCCAGGGACTGACCTCTCCTGATAACCTGTTGAAAGTACATAAGATGATGTCTCCCCGTGCTTTCCTCTAAGGAGCACTCTGGCTGTACTTCTTCCAAGACAATTGTTTGTTCTTCTGACACTTGATGCTACTGCAATAGTATTCACCAGCACAATTAAAATGTATTAACTTTTTGTAGTCTTCCTTATTCGATATCCAACTTTCTTTTTTTTTAAAATACTTTTTTGGGGGGGCTCTTTTTTTGGGGGGGGGCTCTTATATCTCTTATCACAATCCATACATTCCTCCAGTGTGTCAGGCACATTTGCACATATGCCGCCATCATAATTTTCAAAGCATTCTCTTCCACTTAAGCCTGATATCAGTTCATTTCTTTCCCTTCCCTCCCCCGCCCATCCTTCCTCATGAACCTTTGATACAATATAGATTATTATTTCCATATCTTACATCGTCCTCCGTCACCCCTCACCCACTTTTCTGTTATTCGTCCCCCTGGGAGGGGGTTCTATATTGATCCTTGTGATGGATTCCCCCTTCCTCCCCCTACCCTCCCCTGATCTTCCTGGTATCTCTACTCTCCTTGTTGGTCCTGAGAGGTTTATCTATCCTGGATTCCCTGTGTTGCAGGCTCTTCTCTGTAGCAGTGAGCATGTTCTAGTCTAATCTGATTTGTAAGGTTGAATTGAGGTCATGATAGTTGGGGGAAGTAAGCACCAAAGAACTAGAGGAAAGTTGTGTGTTTCATCGGTGCTAAACTGCACCCTGCCTGGCTCATTTCTTCCCTGTGAACCCTCTGTAAAGGGATGTTCAATTGTCTACAGATAGGCATTGAGTCTCCACTCCATGCCTCCCCCCCACACCCTAATTCACCTTGGGTATGGTTTTATTCTGGGTCTTAGATGCTTGACACCTGATCCCATCAACACCTCATGATCACACAGGCTGGTGTGCTTCTTCCATGCGGGGTTTGTTGCTTCTGAGCTAGATGGCCAATTGTTTATCTTCAAGCCTTTAGGACCTCTATATTCTTTTGATAGCCAGGCAACATCGGCTTTCTTCACCACATTTGTTTATGCATCCATTTTGTCTTCAGCGATCAGATCGTGTGGAGGTGAGCATCACAGAATGCCAGATTGTTAGAACAAACCGTTCTTGTGTTAAGGAAGTACTTGAGTCGAGGCCAAATGTACTGGACTACTAACTCTCGGTAGTCATTGCTTTGTTTTCAGGATCATAATAAGGCAGGTTTTATTTCCTTTACAATTCTTTTAAGAAATGCTTTAGGATCTTGATTCCACTTGTTTAAAATTTTCATCAACAGCTGTATTAGAGTTTAAATTCTGAAACCCTGGTTTCCAAAGTGCTATGGATTACAGGCAGGGATGGCTAGGCTTTCTACTCCCATGAAGTTAGTCTCGGAAACTCAAAGAGACAGTTCTACCCTGTCCTGAAGGGTCACTATGTGTCACAATCAATTCTAGGGCAATCCACTTGCTGAGTCTCCACATAGAGTAAGCCGCCATTGAATGATTATTTTTTTTGCATAAAAAATCATTTTATTGGGGGCTCCTACAGCTCTTATCACAATCCATACAAACACATTTGTTCATATGTTGCCATCATAATTTTCAACATTTTCTTTATACTTGAGCCCTTGTTATCAACTCATTTTTCCCCTTCCCCCATCTTCCCTCCCTCCCGAACCCTTGATAATTTATTATTTTTCCATGTCTTACACTGACTGATGTCTCCCTTCACCCACTTTTCTGTTGTCCACCCCCAAAGGAAGGGATTATATGTAGATCATTGTGATCGGTTCCCTTTCTCCCACCTTTCCCTTACTCTCCTGGTATCACTACTCTCATTATTGGTCCCAAGGGGTTCTGTTCTGGATTCCGTTTCCAGCTCTTATCTGTACCGGTGTACATCCTCTGGTCTAGCCGGATTTGTAAGGTAGAATTGGGATGATAGTTGGGGAGAGGAAGCATTAAAGAACTAATGTCTCATTGGTGCTACACTACACTGTAACTGGCTTGTTCTCCTCTCTGCAGGGGATGTGCAGTTGCCTACAGATGGGCTTTGGGTCTCCACTCTGCACTCCCCCTCACACACAATATGATTTTTTTGTTCTTTTGATGCCCGATACCTGATCCCATCAACACCTCGTGATCACACAGACTGCTGTGCTTCTTCCATGTGGGCTTTGTTGCTTCTCAGCTAGAAGGCCACTTGTTCATTTTCAAGCCTTTAAGACCGCTTTCTGATTCTTAACCAGGGAAGTAGATAATTTTTCCAAGGCAGAATGCTTTGGAAAGTGGATTGTTACCATTCCTCTGGTCAGCTCAGGGAGGGGCAATCTATTTTAAAAATCATTTTATTGGGAGCGCTTATGAATATTATAACAATCCATCATTCATTAAGATCAAGCATAACTGTACAATTACTGCCACCATCACTTGAAAAGCATTCTCATCTTGAACTCTGATATCAGCTCTTTATCCCCTCCGTTATATTATTTTGCCATGTCCTACACCATCCAATGTATCCATTCACAGGAACCCTTATATTATTATTTTGCCATGTCTTATACCATCCAATGTCTCCACTCACCTACAATTGTTATTTGTTCACCTTAAGTGGGGTTATAACAATCATTGCTATTGGTTACCCCATCCCCATTCTCTTCCTATACCCTCAGGAGTCATTACTCCCATTACTATTTCTGAAGGGCATTCCCTTTTACCTAGATGTGTCCTTGATGGAGATCACTATATTGAGGAAGGTACAGGGGTCACACAATCATCTTACCATGACTGCCCTGGCTAGAAGAACCTTGATCAATATTCTAAGCCCTTCTACCTAATGATCTATGAGTATGTGTCCTAATCATGGTCCCTCTACTGCTTCTGTAGTCCCGCCTGTAATTGTTAGGTATTGATCTACCACCAATCATGCTTTTGTGAGTTTCCTTTGCTGATCCATGCCTTTTAAAGGGGCATCTCAACAAATCCTTGGATGACATTTTAACCTTGCTGGTGGCCTCCCTCATCCAGATGATGTGTCTGTGTCTCTTAAAAAAAATTTTTTTTAGGGGGGGGTGTCTTTGTCTCTTAAACCTTAATGTTATCCTTTAAATTATATGAGATGGAATCTCTTTTGTACTCTAAGCAGTTTAAATTTTTAGTCAGAATTGTATAAGCTGGACCAATTTAGATGTTTAGGGTATTGGCTATTATTCTTTCTACTGTCAATCATTTCCTAGTATCAACAAGATTAACCATTTCCTGATGTTGATGTCCTGCAGTCTTCACCTTCAATATGATTTTGTTCCTTCTTAAAACAAGTTATCAAATTGCAAACTGCCTATTTCTTTGGGGCACTGTCCCCATACCATACACTTTATAAGTCATTGGTTACTTCACAACTCTGCCACCCAGGTTCCACCATCAAGCTGATGCTTGTTCATGCTGTAATTTTAACAGAATTCACGAGCTCTGAATGGGGCTCCTTGGAAACTGATGTCTCACCCTTAATGCCTTAAATTAGATGCTGTAATAACATACTTCAAACTTTTATCTCAATGATTGTCCTGGGGGAATTTATCAATTTGGAAACTGTAGATATCTAGATCATTATGACAGAGCTCTTATGTGTACTGTCAAAACCTCTAACAACTGCAAAATATTCAGACATATGCCCCGGGTTGAAAGATTTTTAAAAACAAGCATAAAGTGCACCATCAGAACTAGAACATTGAATGGAGGGAGGGGGGGAGAACTAGAACCTTAAAGGTATTTGTGACTATCCCCTGGATATTGTAGTACTCGTCTTTGTATGTGTGCATGTCATTTAACAGCTATTTGATATGTGATGAAGTCTACATTATTATAAAATGAATTATGTATTCTGTGCTAGATAAATATTAAAACATAATCAGTGCATTTTCCATAACTCTTAACCAATAAACCACTTTTTTTTTGGGGGGGGGGGATTAAATCCTGTACACAAGTTATAACAAGTTAACACAAATTTTGGTTCAAAAAATTTTTTAATTCATTCAGTTTTTTAATAATATGCATTTTACACAAAAATTCTGAAGAATGCTTGTCTGAAATGGAACACTAGTGGTCAATTTTTTTTTTACTTACTCTCATACATTAACTCTCATTTTACACAGACCAGAAAGTTAGGATATAGAAAGCATATATACATCTACAAGTACTAAAACATTTATCGTCATATAATTTTATGGTATAAGAAAAGAGGCACAGACAAGAAATACAAATAAGTTATAACCTAAAAAGCTACATACAAAGTTTCTTTATTACAATCTGCCAGAAAAGTTAAGAGGATGTTATTAAGCCTTCATAATCAATTGTGGGCACACAATCTAACGCTCTGGCCTCCTCCTCAGCTTAACTGGCACTGGACACAGCCAACTTCTTCAAATGATCCATGAAAACCTGCAGGCTAACATCATCAGTTAAGATGGGTGCTCCGGTTTCCTAAAATTTAATGATAAAAATTCATTAACAGATACCTTAAAAGCTGGTAAGAATTTGTTAGTTTGTCTGAGAATATTCAGAGGCACTAATTGGCCCAGGGATAACAAATACTCTCCATCTACTGCCTTGCTAACTAATTCAAATGAAGCACATTCCTGCACAAAACTCTTCTCTGATCCTCATGTTCCTAAATGAGCACTTTTGACCTAGTTTCTACCCAGACATTAGTGACTCTCGCTATACAACACTGGGACGTTGGACTCCGTCCTTTCTAGGTGCACAACCCCCTCCACAGAATACACCGTAAGGATCGTATTGGAAAACTACACTAAGTAAACTGGACTTTACCTTAAACTCACCTGTAACATATGGTTTGGATCTCTTCCTGTGAGGGTGCTCAATGTATGGTGGCCTAGGAGTATCATATATTTATTATTTTCATGCTTTTTGGGGGTTGGGGGAGACTTGTTTCTTTATTGAGAGGGTTGGGGAGCACCAGGGAATGTCCATTCTAATCTTCCTGGGCTGATTTTTAAATTATTTTCTTTTTCTTAGTGCTGTTGCTCTTGCTGCTAGCAGCTGCCTCCTTGGGTCCACTGCTGGCAGGTTCCCCCTTCTTTTTCTTTGGGATGCTCCCGGATTTTTTGTTAATAGCATATTGTTAGTCTAGCAGGTGTGGTCTGCCCTTGTGAATGAGTGTTATTGAAAGTTTTGCCTTTATCTTTAACCGTCATTATTTTTGTTAAAATATCCAGTCATTTAAGATTTTAATCTGTGAAAGTGAACAATTCATGTATTTTGGCTTAAAAAGCTGGCCTATATATATGTATAGTTTCCTTTTGTCAACACTGTTTTAAATTCTATAACATTGGATAAACTAATAATACTGCCAATATATCATATTATTATATGCCAGTGGGGATGATTTATAATGTTCTCAAATATAATGATAATGATGTCTCCAAAATAAACCAGAGGCATATATTAATTATAGAGAAATGAACAGACTTTGACTTGGACTTTAATTGTAATCCTAATCTAAGAAGAATTAGTTCATCTGACATGACCCTACTTGATACTCGACCTCATGGAGAGATACTAATTGGCCCAGGGATAACAAATACTCTCCCATAACTGAAGATGCATGCTCGAGCAGTCTGATGAAGAAATCAGATGGTGCCCAGCTATTAGAAAGGATAGCATTTGAAGCCTTCAAACAAGCAGCCAACTGAGGGTCAGCCAAGTCCACACAGAAAAAGTACACCAACCTAGGTGTTCCAAGGACTATAAATAAAACCTAAATTTGAAAGTGGGAAGGTTAACAGAACTTAAATTCTAAGCACTCAGTTTGCAGAAGGCTATGGATGACAGTAGAAGGCCAAAATCCATTGGTAGGGAGGGCAGCTTCTACATAGATTAAGTCTCCAGTGAATCCCTTCCAACTATAGTCCAAAGGTATAAATAGGTGATATAGTTTATTATGCCAGCCTGGCTGATAAATACAAGTAGGATTAACTGAAGGGTGGAGAGATAATGGCTCAGTGAGCCTCATCTTTCTTATCTCTTGCTCTTTGATCATCGGACCAGTGTGCGGCTACCTTGCTC